CGATTTTCGAGATTCTTCTGATACATCATGTAATTTTGACGTTGATAGTTTGGGTTTTTGGCCATTGACTTTCAGGTAACGAAAGAAATGCAGGGCCATGCCACCATTTCGAAGAATTTATCAGTTCTTTTGCAGAACAACCCTTTTGTTATTAGATCTGCAGGGTTGAGTTTTTCCTTCGCAATGTCTCCATGAACAAGGATCTGAAATTTCATGTATTTCTGAAATTCTATTAGCAATGAAAGGTTTCCATCTTTTAGCTGTACCTTTTAATCCAATGTAGAACTATTTCCGAATCTGACCATAAAATGACATTTGAAATATGTAGAATATTTTTCAGGTAGTTGGCAACCCTAGCACCCACCAGTGCTCCCATCAATTCAAGGCGGGGAAGCGTTAATTTCTTTAATGGTGCAACACGTGATTTTGCCAAAACAAATGTAGTTTCAAATTTATCTTCATCAGTTCTGTATCTCAAGTATGCGACTGAGCCATACGCATTCGGATTAGCGTCACTAAAAATGTGTAACTGAACAGTGTCCCTGTCTAAATTTGGTACATGAAAATAATATCTGGGAATTTTCAACATTTAAGTTCTTTTATTTCAGAGAGCCATATTTTCCAGTCATTTTCGAGTTCTCCAGAAAAGATCTCATCCCAAGGTACCCCTTGAAGCCATAGCTGTTGCAATAAACATTTAATTCGAATTACAAAGGGTGCGATAAATCCAGATGGGTCAAAAATTTTGGCTGCTATTTTTAATACATTACGTTTGGTACATTCAGTGTTTATAGAGGACAGTAAGGGTGTTAATTCTAGTCCTAAGACATCTTCATCATTGTTCCATATTAAACCTAGTACTTTTAAGGATGTACATGGAGTGTCACTATTGAGAGAGATTAACTTTTCCTCAAGCCATTTCTGCTTAAGCTCTAGGGAATTGGTTTCGAATTTTCTTAGATTTAGACCTCCTTCAGCAAGAATTTTAACAGATTCATTTGATAGATTAAGCGCTTCTTCAACAGTTGTCGCTCCAGAAAATAGGTCATCCACGTAAAGATTTGAGTTAAGCATTTCAAAAGTCTTAAAGTTAGAATTCTTGTACTTATCAATGTGATGTTTTATTGTGCAAGCAAGGATGAAAGGACTACAAGTTACACCAAAGGTTGCTCTTGTCATTTTGTAAGAAATTACACTCTCTTTTCTATCAAAGGTTTTTTAAAATAAAGAAATCTCAGATAATCTCTGTCTTCTTCTGCGATTGATATTTGAAGGAATGCCTTTTCGATATCTGCCGAAAAGGCGATCCTATTTTCGCGGAATTTCAAAATAACGTCCAAAACATTTGGATTTAGATTTGGCCCTGGGTGAAGACAATCATTGAGAGAAAGAGCATCATTTGATTTTGAAGAAGCATCGTAAACGATGCGTACCTTTGTTGTTGTTTTGTCGTCTCTAATTACAGGATGGTGAGGCATATAATAAGAATTAAGTGTCGAGCTGTTTTCAGGGCATACTTCTACAATTCCTAAATGTTCTTGTTCCCTGAGAATATTGTTGTATTCTTCAAATAACATTTCATTACACTTAAATTTATTTTCTAGACTAGCAAATCTTCTTTTAGCCACTTCAAGATTGTTTCTCAATAAATCGCGAGATTTGCTCCATAGTAACTTTGCCTCATAACGACCATTTTTAAATTTCAAATTATTTTGAAAGTCATTTATGAATTTCTAAATCACTAGAATTCTTTTCGTTATTCTCAACAATACCCATGACTTCTAAATCCCAAAATTTCTTCAGTTCATCATTTTCACACTCTCAACTGATACACTACAACAATTTATTCTTTCTATCTTTTTGATTCTATCTGCCCCTGAATAGTATGTCCGAAAATAGTTTCTGCAATGTATAAATGCTTTTCCAATTTTTCCTACAATACCTAATTGAATTTGCCATAAAAAGTCTGACCCTAGTAAAATAGTTATTTCCCGCGTTCATGCCCTGTATCAGCAGGATTAAATCCTCTCATTTTCAAGCGTTGAATCAAAGCTTTGTCTGGAATTTTGACTGTAGCGCCAGTTATTTTTTCAACTACCAAGGCTTCAATATTTATGGAATTGTTTGTTTGCGAAACATTTTGTAATTCAAGAGAAACTACGTCAAATGATGATTCTTGTGGTTTTCGTCTGCCAAATGAATATACTAATAAATTTTCTTTTCTAATAGGCTTTAAATTCAGTTTTCTTACTAAATTTTCTTTTATAAAGCATTTTTTTAACTGAACCACTATCACACAAAACCCTTGCATGGATTCTGTTTTCACACCACCAGAGACACATACAATACAAGTTTGGAGTAATGTAGAAATAGTTTTATTTTTCTGTTCAGAAACGCAAGATACTAAGGTTGTGGATTTATCTGCGTTAATATTTTCAGGACTTTCCATGTTTTTCTGATTTATTACAGAACAGCTCATTGTGAAATTTATTACCACATTTCGAACATGGGTTTAATTTACTTTTACAGTTAGAAGACAGGTGTGATTTTAAGAAACACTTGTAACAGCGTCCTCCCTTCTTCAATTTAAAACGTTTCTCTTGGTCTGTATACCTTTTACAACTCCAAGCTTGTATGATCTGAAGAGTCACAAAATACACAAAATATTTTTATAGAAGTGTTCAAGGCAGCAGCCGAAGGAACACTTTTCTTAGAAGAAAAGTTCTGATTATATTTTTGTTTGGAATTAAAATTAGTGTAAGTGTCATGTATTTTATTACTAGAAGAATTATTTACTAATATTGTGGCCTCACGGGCACGTAAATCTTCTCTTATAAATTCCAATAGGTCATTGACCTTATACTCATTTTCTGTATTATTTTTCTTATGAAATTCTAGAACCATGCTTTCTGGTAACAATTTTAACAGTATAGGCAAAAGTAGATGCCCGTATGAACCTGTTGTTACCCCCATTGACTTGAGATTTCTGATATGTATTTCACATTTATCATACAGATTTCTAAGTCCCCTTATATTATTTGATGATTTTACTGGCTCTAATTCAAAATTTTATTTATATGACAGTTTATGATTGTATCACGCCTACCATATCTTTCGTTTAACAATTTTAGGCATTCATCATAATTTTCATCAGTGAGATCAAACCCTGATACAACATTATATGCAGTACCTGTCAAAAGAGATTTCAGGTATTGAAATTTACTTACTTATTTTTGACAAAGAATCATTGTTATCCACAGCATTCTTGAAACAGTTAATAAATTCTAAATAAGTGCTGGATCACCAGAGAATTTTTCAATATTTAATTTCGGCAACTTAACTGCCGCAACAAATTTACTTTCGATTACAGGAGTTACAGGTACATTTTGAACTACGTTAACTTCAGTATCTGCTTTACATTTTCTTAACCTATTCTTAATTTTGGATTTCATACTCAAAATTTTATGAGAGTATTCTTCAACCGATTTTAATTCTTTTTCATATTCAGCTTTATCTTCAATCAATTTATCTATCTCTTTATCAATTTCATTTAAAGAATTTTCTTTTTCTGACAAAATATATCCTGACACTCTAACAAGGAATCTGTGTCAGTTCTTTCAATCGCTGCTACCAGCAAATCTTCTGCTTTATTTATTTGTTTAGTGATTGCAGATCTGATAGCAGCTCTTTTCGACTTTAATTTGTCTATATTTTCCATATTTCAAGTAATGGAATATAACCTTATAAAATTCAACAAATAATTGTAACAAAATTAAAGTACAGTATTTCAATATTTTAAGCACTTCCTTTAAAAACAATATACTTATAGTCCACAAATTTCCTTCGATTAAGACCAATTATTTTTTCAAGCATCAATGAAGTATTATTCTTTCAAGTAATATTTCAATAAAACAACATAAATATTCAATACTTTTTATTCAACTCAATCATTATTTTTCAAGGTTGAATACTTCAAGAATGAAAAGAAAATGGCTTACCTGATATTTTCAGGTATCCTTCCATTATTCCAGCATAGAACTATATTCAAGAACTATATTCACTTTCGATTTCGATTTTAAAGTATCTAAAGGTCCGGGAATTTGGGCACCAAAAACATGTGTATAAAAATTTTGTCACGTTTATGCTCACGAATTCACGATTCTATTTTTTTATATAAAAACAAAACATTTAATGAAGAGCTTATGTACATTATTTACATTATTGAAAGCACAATCATACATATATTATAAATTTTCCCATCATAGGGCCAATATTCGTTTATCAAGAACAATTACCGCTATGCGGCCAAGAACAGATCATTTCAAGGCGTCGCCCTCAAGCTAACTAACAGAGTATTACATTCCTGCTCTGCCGCCAGTCACGTGACCTAGTCGGCGACAGACGATAAAAAATAAAAGAAAAACTGAATCCATCGGAGGGAAAAAGAAATAATTTCAACAATGGTATAAGTTAAGTTTCACGTGAAAATTAAGTTCTCAGTTTTTAGTTTATTTCAGAAAAGCTACGAATTTCTCAGTTGCATTGTCATTTACATCTTAAATATCTCATATACCACAAAACTTATATTTAGCATGAAAGACACAAGGAATAATAAATTTAAAGTTTAATTGATTCTAATAAATTTAGGTTTATCAATGTGCCGCCCAGTCAGTATAGTGGTCAGGGAAGCTGACTGCGATGCCGAAGGGCATGGGCTGGAATCCCGGAGAAGGCATGGTTGTAACTGTTCGTCCCTTCATAGGAAAGGCGATGGTGGCCCACCTATTAGGTGCCTCCATGATAAAGAGACCACCACATCCGGCCTTGTATAGATTAATGGACTGGGTTACATTTGTAATTGTCCACAATCTGCCATTGGGAAAAAAGGAAAAAAAAAAAGGTTTATCAATGCGCAGAAATAAGAGTTGACGAAGAAATTCTGTGTTAAATAAATTTAACTCCTCATCTGTCTAATGTACTATATTTGTTCGTTATTTCAGCCACTATTCTGTGCCTTATATTCCCAAAATTCCTGGACTCGATACCTTCAATGGTCTATTGATGCACAGCCATGATTATCGGGAAGAGTCTAAATTTCAAAATCTGAAAGTTGTTGTCTTAGGAGCTGGGGCATCAGGAATTGATATTGCTATCGAAATTTCTAACGTGGCTAAAGAGGTAAAAAACTTACAATATATATCGAATGTCACGTTTTGAAGATATTATGCAAACATTTTTTTTTCCCTTTTTTTATGTATGATATTAACTGAGCAAGTTACAAAAATTTTTCTATCAAATATTCAGATAATTTTCTCATCTTATAAAAATTTCAGTATGCCATGGAATAAAAATTAATTATTAGACAAGATTTGGATTGTTTCTTTTATTATAATATAGGTTGAACCAAAACAGTTTCAAGAAACTTAACGTATCGCTTCATCTGAGAAAGATAAAATGATACAGCCAGCTTAGAGCGAGATTTAGATTGTTTAGTGCATAAAGACTACTTATGCACGTTTTTAAGTCGAATTTGATTGTTTCTTTATTTGCCTCACCTGTGGTTGATATTGGTTAGCAAAAGAACATGCATTTATGTTCTAATTTCTGTTTAAATAAAAGCCTTTATCTGACTAGCAGTTACCTTTTATAAACCTTTATCTGACTAGCAGTTACTTTCAGATATAACGACAATTCGCTTCACGTCTGTTAGGGGTTTTGGAGTGATTAGGTATTATCAAATGAAGTAAAATCGCATAAAACAAAAACGAAAAATTTTTGTAACTATGAAAGTGTTCAGAGAAATAAATTAAATAACAGTTGAAGCTTTAGGGATAATTTCTGCAGATCCAAAGTCAAAGTATAATTAAGTGTCCATTTGTAAATACCTGTCTCAAATAATGTATATTTCTCTTTTTCGAACGTACAGTTAGTGTCCCATCACAAAAAAATTAATAATCTTTCATTTTAACTAATGCATGTCAAACCACATTGACAATACATGATAAAATTCCTCAAGAATTAAAATCAAAGATGGGATCTTTAAGAATTGAACAAGGAAATTAGCTGATATGTGAGAAAATGTCTTCAAAGTTGAACTTATGAAGAATCCGAGCAATTTTGTGTTTGACGAAAAGATTAAACAGTAGTAACGTAGAGCTTAATGATTATTTTTAATTGCAAAGAATTGTTTTATAATGGAAAAAGGTAATTCTTATTTGTTTATTAAGTACTGTTATATACTATACATTTTTTTCTCATTTTTGCAGTTTCTAATGCATTTTACATAATATAAATATTTATTAAAACACATTTTACAAAAAACTTTTCTTGCTGCATGTTAATGTTACCGCAGCTGAGCGTTTTGCAACAATATGAATCATTGGAGCTTCTTCAATTTATTAAAATGGATTTCTTTAAACCCTTCTAGGTTAACAAGACGCGTTCCTTTTTGCTTAATGGCTTTTAGAAATTATCAGATATTAGAGTTTTCTGATAATTTCACGTTTCATTAATGTTTTACTCTATAGATTACGCTGCATTCGTTTTCACTTTACTCCACCCATTGTTTTCACATTAAATCTTTTCGCACCTTCCACTACTGAAATTTCCTTATCCTTTTCTGAAATGGAGGCACCTACGTCTGATCACTGTTAAAATTGATATTAAAATCACGTCAACCAAAGTTTACTGTTCTGTCAAATTTTAAAATGTAACTCAATATAGTATTAAATAAAAACGAAAATGTGGTACTTGTCCAGAAACTTTCCCGTTGTGCATCCTGGAAACGGTCTGTTACGTTTTTTTCTTCCTTCACGTTTGTACGGAGTTTATGTAGATTTGGAGTGAATAACGACGACACTTAATGAAGTAACAAAACACACTTTATTTGCCAATATTGTCAGAACAGCTCCAAAACACGTTTTACAGTCGTCGATGAACTACTATAAACACGCTGACACGACCAACGACACAGCCTTCAGGTTATCAGTCTATCACGGTGGAGACAGCTTCACTGCAAAGCACCAGAGTACAGCTCTCGACTCTGCTCGGTTGTTCTCGGAACTCCATGTACTCTCCAGACTCTCCACGCTACAACTCGCGATGCACTCGACGACACACAGAGCACGGCTCCCGACTCTTCGGTTAAGTCGTTCCCGTAGCTCAACACGCTCTCTCGACGATGCACTAACCGCGATACACTAAGAGACTCCTTCGGTGAACTCGACGACCCACTCGGCACTCGCTGCCCGGCTGTCAACTCGATCGACTCCGCAGGGATTGACTCGCTAGACGAGACACCAATTCGATACTGAATAACTCTCCACGTACCAGCAGGATTTATATAGCTTTTGGCTGGTGTTCGAGAACATTCTGGGCTAAACCGGTAAGAATTCGTTCCAGAAGATTCTACAACCGTCCATGGTATATCGCCAATTTTGTCGCCAAATATTTCCAAATGGATGATTTCTCGCCGAATGTGGCAACCCTGCCTTTCCTTGCTATTTTATTGCAATCCCCTAAAACTGCTTTGCGGCGAAGCTATCTCACCGCGCCTGAACATTTCGTAACAGGTCTTTTATTGGACAAATATGGACATTGTCGTATGGTTTCGTCTGCTGCCAGCTAAGCGTGCCATCGGCTAAACATGTTTCCGAAAAAAATTACATTATCTGTCAAGGTTTAGATTGCTTCCGTAACTTAAGAATACTAAATTTACACAAATTAGGGTGAAGCAATAAAAATAATTAATGAACTATAAAAATATAATTCAGCAATGTGCTTCTTCTAGTCAAAGTAGGACTGCACAAAACGTAATTATTGTCGCCTTACCTCTGAGCGATGAGGCTTAAAAAGTGACAACCATAGATGGAGAATCCGATCTCACAGTGTTCTTGTGCAACTACAATCAAACCTCTTCAAATATTTAATTCATTGCTGAAGGTCTTTTGTGAATCAAAATGTTCGCAAACCGAAACAATTTTCCCGACATAAATCCATATAAAAGATTTAATTCTCTCGTCGACTACAGATGATTGCTTATTTAAACTTCACAGCAGCACATTATGCACACACTCATAACCCAGAACCAATGGTAATCATTAAACATAACATAGTGTTAAACATTTAAAACAGACGAAAGCTTGATTTTACTGGATCTGTACAAAGGATATGGCATAAATAGAATGTTGAGAAAGATGTCATTTTTTGGATGAAAGGTCCCTTTTTATAAACGTATGGGGTAATTTTCTTTAGGCATCTTCTTTGTTTATCTCTAAGTGCGACACGACTTTGCTTTAGACTCACTGAGTTTCCGATCACTTAAAATTTATCCGATGTGATTTCTTGCTCTGGGTTTTAAAAAGTATATGGCACTATCTGATCATCGAAAATGCTTACTCTGTAGCCTGCTACCGCGTTATCAAGGCGATAACGTAACGTGAAAATTTTGTATCTCACGTCATTTTGCACAGATTAAAGAAATAGGATAATTTTTCTTCCTCTTTTCTAAAGACGTTCTTTTCACAATCGCTTTTTGTTCCTGCTTCTGAAGCTGTTATGTTTCTTTTAATGTTAAGTTCATTTTTATTGTTCTGTAGTAACTCCTTTAAGTCTTCATGATTAAATCATTGGTAACAACACACACACACATGCACACACACACACACACACACAAAAAAAAAAAAAAAAAAAAAAGCGCTGAAAAGCGTTTAAAAGTCACTGCTCTCAACCCATTCTGGTTTTAATTTCTTTCAGGCCGAATTCGTGTTATTGTAACGCACTTTCTGATAGGCAATGTTGCCAGAAGTATTTAGTAGTAGGAGAAGAATTGAAAAATTGCATAACGTAGCACATGATGTCAGAGACCAAGTGATTTTTGTGACGTCATGACGTCATAGTTCGTATGACGTAATCACAAATAACATAATCAAGTTCAAATAAAATCGCTAATCTGACATAATTAAAATCAAATCACAAATTCAGTCTCCATTGGTTCCGTAAGTTACAGACTATAATTCGTTTCTTAGTTATTTTAGTTACGTATCTTAGATTTGACAAAAATTTTAAAACTAGATTGCTAATTATCCAAGGTTTAAAGCTTTTTTCTTTTAATTAATTATCAATTTATTTAAGGTTTTATTTTTAAATTAATTTGTCAGGATCCATTATTAAGTGCTTCTTCCCGTTCGGACTGTTGGCGCGTTTGTACTAATTTATTTGAGGTAGCAGTTCATTTTCCGACTTCGTTACTGTTTTTGCTTTATTTTAAGTGTTAGTGCTTTTCAGTAAATTTTTCTTTCCGCTTGGTTGACTTGGTTATCAGTTTCCGATTACTGATAAAATCCTCGTTCTTTCATTGTTAAATTTTTTTGTTTTGTTATTTAGAAAACTGATTTTGTTTTGATTTTTTAAGTCACCTTAATACCAATACGATTGTTATTCTGAGCTGTTATAATCAGGATAATGGATTTCATTCCTTTTTCTGTTTGAGTAACCAATATACGGCACTAGGGCTGCAGATCGCTTCGTTATCACAATAGTTGGAAAAAACTAGTATTAAAAACAGTATTTGTAAAAATAAATAAATAACATAATAACACTGTTTTACGCTTTTTTGCAGTATTTTCCACTTCATTACTAAGGTTTTTGCGGAATTTTTCTATTTGCCAACAGACTTTTTGTTGAGTTCAAACAAAAATTTTTAAATTGCTTTTATGTAATAGGCAAACAACTCGAGTATACATTGGTTTTTTACGTATATATATGTATATACGTAAAAAATTACTTTCCTAAGTAGAATGTTTTTTGGTATGGGAAACGAGAAAAATTACTGACGTTTATGTTAAATAATAAAAGTTCTCTTCTTTATTTAATATTGCATTTTTTTTTACAATTGCGTATTAAAATTCCAGTCCTTCTTGATAGCGTTATACTATATTCCAAAATAAATATCTATAAATATCTAAGTCAAATTTTTGAAAATATCTGCAAATATAAAATAGGCTTTGCCAAATGTTATTATGATTTCTAAATTTAAGTAAAAATTATTTTCAAGTATATTAACAAGCGTATTCTGTTTTGAAATTTAGGAGGGGAAAGATAGTTAACGAGGTTTTCAATAGATGGCGCTATATAAATTTTGAAGAATCGATTTTTGTTTACGCACGTGCCACAGACGTGACAAATTTCAAATGTTCCTACACATTTAACAGTTAGCACGTATAAAAAACATCAGTCGAACTCTTAGCAGATCTAGAATACTGAATGATGTAACTGATGGCATTTATGATTTTTTTTTCTTTATCAAGGTCAAGCATCTGAAATAATATCACTATCAAGGTCAAGCATTTGAATTAATATCACTGCCCACTAGTGAGAAATTCTGGATTTTTCCATTAATAGCATGCATTATTCTCTTGGTTTTGTAGAAAAAAATTCCGTGTCAATTCATACAAATAAGTTTCAGCAATAAATGTGAAACAGAAAAATTGTATGATTTATCATCACACATAATGCATAAAAATTATGATAAACAATAGGTAAATAATATGCGATAGGATGACAGCATTATTTTCCAGACGTCGCAAGAGCTGATTTTTTACATCTTTTTTATTACTATTATTTTAAAGGAAAAGCGATATAAATTATTTCATTTTCGATCACTATATTAAGCTTTATACTGAAAATTTAATAAATTGTTTCTCCACGGCTAGAACAACGATAAAACGAGATAGCCAGTTGCCTCAAATGAACAAATAAGCGCGGCGTTAACATATGTAAAAAATTACATGAATACGAATTACTATATATTTCCATGCATAAGTCGACAAATAGTAGTATGTTTTATTATTGAACTTTGGGAGGTAGGTTTATAAATTTGATGATGATTTACGAGTTATTTGATCATAAAAATGTTATTATAAATCAAGTAACTTAAAAAATATTATTTTGATTTTATTTAATGCTTATCTGTATTAAAAAATTATGTAAATCTGCTTTATAATTTAATTTAGCAATAGCCCCTTAATTCCTCATTTTTAATTTGGGTATTTCCTCTGTGTATTCTAAAAATAATAATAACTTTTCTGGACTGCTTCATTTCTATATCAATCTATGTCACATAGCTTGCGTAACGCTAGTGACGTAGCTAATTCCGGACCTGAACTCAAAACTTTTCCTTAATAAGCAACCTAAGCCAAAAGCTTCTCTTGGTTAGCTTCCATATCGGGTAATTGCCTATTTTAGCTTCTACCACTCTTCCTGTTAAGAGGCTATTTCGTTCTGTTCTCTTCCTATCGCAATAGTATCAAAAACGTAAATGTTCTTGAGTAGGCACGATTAGAGTGCCAAGTAAATTGCGGCTACAGATGCCAACTGAAATAAAATGAATATTTAATCTTTCTCCGTTGCCAAGTTTCGTCTTCAATATGGATATACGTTCTACGCCATCAACATTACTACGTCTTTTTCAGCACATATATATTGATCAAATTTCTTAAATTAGGCATCCGACTCTTAATATTCTGCCAAATATTAGAAGTACCTTTTGGCAAGTGGAAATCCCAACTGAATATCATCACTCTTCCTTTGACTGTTAAATCTTTGTCATTCAACTCGTAGATAATGGCATCTTCAGTTCCAATCATAGCATTGCTCTGCAAAAGTGATAAACTTGCACAAAACATAATTTTTTTTTCTATCCAGGCACATTTGAGTGATATTAGACATGAAAAACTGTAATTTGCTTGCAAAACAAGAACACCACTGAAGAGAAAGGAAAATGTAATTATTTGAGAATGGTTATAACTGAGGACAAAAGTAAAGTTTGAAAGACTTGAAAAAAAGGAATTATTTATGCCATAATTGGCCTTTCATTCAAGATCAATTATTCGTAGCGAATTAAGATTAATTATTAACCTCACGAGATATAACTGAATTTATAGCATAAATTTAAATTCGATCTGTATATGTCCTCAGTTCAATTTATACATGCCGCATTTTAGCTGAATGTTTGCTGTAAAATCTTATTACTGGGATTATACATGTTTACATACAGTTTATATACGAAAATTTGTAGTAAATAATTTAACTTATATTTATGAAATATGTTACTTATGTGATGTAATGTGATGTATTTATTAGAAAATATGTTACTTATGTGATGTATTGCCTATGCTATGTTATACGTCTACCTCGGACCGAACTACCAGTGTTCAGCGACTTTACCGCTCGGCCGCTGGTGGGCTGTTATACGTCTCCCGCCAGGTTTTATTAATGTAAAGTTTACTAAGGAAAGTCTGAAAAGAACTCCTTATTTCGGATGTTCATTTTTGGTCTGTCATGTAGAAATTTGCCGTGATCAGCTAGAAGAAAACGATTGCAGAGCATACTAGCGAAAAATTAAAGAAGTTACCAAATCTAAGTCTTCGACGAAGCGAGACGAAAGGAAATACTGTAGAGCGTTATCTAATTTCTATGAATCTATATCTAGGTATGGTGTAACGCACAATTACGTGTCTTCGAACAGAAATTAATCATATTAACGTTTTGACACAAACAAGATTACAGACGAATTTCTATCATATTTGAAAACATTTCCTACTATATATGCTATGTTTGTTCAAAATTTACCATACTTTATGGAACATTATTAATGTGTTTGTCTTATCATATTATCGATTAACTAACTTGTCTCAATGCCTTGAGACGGTGCTCATGCTTGGAATGGGAAAGTGTTTCTTCAAAACAGAATTTCTGCAGTTATTCGAACAGTCGAATATACAAATCCTCAGATCGAGAATGTCGTATTATATTTCTCATTGTATTTGAGGCAGTTATGCTGGAGAGAGGTTAGCTAGAAGTCTGTAAAGCGAATAGAAAATTCTAACCGTATCATCTACAAGCATTGTTCGGCATTCGTCATATGAGGTACTATCATTCCATAGCAGTGATTGAAGGACTATTGTCTGTTGCTTTAAAATAGGCAACTCAAGATCCTTTTCACTCTCTCTCATTTATGGTCATAACCTGTGTTATCATCACCGCATAGCACTTATTTTCGTCACCTCATTTGAGATTAAAATTAAAATGTGCTTTCATTCGCACGTTTATCATGAAATGAAATACGCTAAATGGAAATGGAAATAAGGGAAAAGCGATTATGTTACTTGATCATCTTTTTACAGCTCTTGTTATAGTGACGACGCAAACCAGGCGAGAAATATGGAATTGAAAAGGCTATTCTAAAATAACATAAACAGTAAATCCACTGAATGATCGTAGTTTAACTCCTTGTCAAATCACGGAGAACTGGCTGGTTGCTTGGACGTTCCCCTGATTTCCCCACATGTAATATCGGTACGAGCCGCTTTCCATTCAAAAATTCTTCACGGTAGCAGTCCTTAAGCCCTCGCGTGCTTTGTATAATCTACAGCACTATCTATTCAAATTTTCTGGAGAGATAAGCTAACAGAAAACAAATGATTATTGACTGCACACTTAATTCCTTTTAATGATTTAGCAAATTACTTTAAAATGAAGACTAATCAATGAGTAGGTACTTCGGACTATGTACAAGTAAATTAATACTGTTGTGGATGGAAAGTACTCCCAAATTCTGTGGCATCTTTTATTGTGTGGAACTTAATGAGAAATATTTTATAATCACTAATGTTATCACATGTATTTTTATTTCAAATATTTCGTTGATAAGTCTTACGCTGAAGGCTTGTAAAAATAATTTTCCCATCATTCTTCAGTAAACAAACTTAACGCTTTTTTAGACCGACCCGGGTGAATCCGGAGTTGACTGCATTTCAAGCTTGGACATGAATACGACATAAGAGGCATACGAGTCTAGAGAATTTAGTTAATTTCGAACAAGCATGACATTCGTGATATGCAACAAAAACATCATCGATTCGGTCATCATCGACCGAAATCCGTTTGAAGTCATATTTCCGTAAAAACGACACATTCTGAAATCTCTTTATATTTATTGATATGTAGTAGCTGTTGATTATTTCATATTGGTGTGTTTCTGGCTGTCAAGCGTTATGAATAAATGGACGAGAGCTATAAATATAGGTATTATATAAATGCAGGTTAAAACAAAATATACTACTATAATTCTAGTGAAATTTAATGGCACCAATAAGAAATTAATACAACAAAATCACTTTACATGCTAAATTTGTTAGAAGTACAGGTACACCGCTTATTTTTACATTAAAATTGTATATTGCATATTATGTACGTGCCAACTATTTAGTTTTCATTTTCCACGCTTCAAACACCAATTATTTACGGTTTTAATTTTTATTACATAAATTCGAGATATTTAATTAATATGCTCGTTAGTTGTCGGAAAATGTACCTGCTTACGAAAATTTAAATTTTTGTTTTATTTATCTTGTATTTTCTTTTCTTTTATCTAGGTTGTCCTCAGCCACAATACGCCACCCAAGACTTGTCGTTTACCTTCTAATATGACTCAAGAAAAAGGAATAGAATCTGTGCAAAAGTCATCCGTCACTTTCATAGGAGGCAAGATGTATCAGTGTGATGCTATCCTTATTTGTACTGGGTATTTATACACATACCCATTCTTTCACCCAAAATGCAAAATTGAGATCGGAGACCAGAAAGTATCCCCACTCTACCTGCACCTATTTCACATTGATTATCCAACTTTAGCAATATGGGCTGTTCCGAAACTGATAATACCTTTCCCGATTTATGACCAACAAGTCAAAGTGTTCTTGAAGTTTTTGAAAGGGTTCGTGAAACTTCCAAGCAAAGAAGAAATGAGAGCCGAGGCTGAAAGAGATTTCTTAAAGCGACTCGAAAGTGGTTTCAAACCGAGGCATGCTCATGTTATGCCTGGTGACCTTCAGTGGGAATACGATGACAAGTTGAGCGAGTTGGGTAAAATAAAACCAATACCCGATGCCGTGCGAAACTTGTTCAAACACGTTCATTTCATGAGGACTCAAGATGTTTTAAACTATAAGAATGTGAATTATAGTATACTTGATGAGAAAACATTTTTAAAAATTGAGTGAATAGATAGTTATTTATACCAAAAAGGATAAAAAATGTGAGTTTAATATATGTACACACATGCACGAATGATACTAATGAAATATGCACAAATTGGATTGCAAACATCGGGAAAAATCATTTTTTATAGCCTTTCCATAATTTTTTTGACTAGATTCACTAATGGTCAATTGAGAACAAATACAGACATCGCAGATTTAGGGAACTCTCAGTTTCCACTAACTGTTTGTGTAGTCATTTGATTCTGGACTATCTTTTTAACATATAACGCTAACATATTTGTTAAGCGGCTTAAATAAAATTTCAGTTTTTAGAACTATGCATTTCATTCGATGCATTCCTAGATATGGGATCGATTCGATTCATTTTTAGAACAAGGATGACACTCATAAACGGACGTGACTGAATTGAACATAATGTTATTGCTGGCTAAAGCAATTCCAGAGGCACAGTATTGGTTCACATGTTTTTCTCATCAGTGCGATGTGCACCCGACAGTTTAATATATTTTACATATTTTGAAACAATGAAATAAAGCAGAGCGAGAAGCGCAAGTTGCCAACAGAAAGCGAAGCGGAAAAAAAGGATACGCAATAGCAAAGTGCTAGATATGTAAAATATTTCTTTAATCTGATTTAGCTGAGACTTGTCGCACTGCAGCTTGATTACATAAGAGACATAAAAAGTATTAATTTTCAGGTGACGCACTTTACATTCATGTATTAGTATTTTTAAGATAGGAAGGGGAAGTAGCCAAAATAAAGTTGTAATTTTATGTTCCCCAGTTTTTAAGTTCTTTATTTCAAAATTGTATATATTAGGAAAACAAGAAGAAGCAGTAAAATAAATATGCGCAAGAAACGATACGAATTCAAAACAACAAATATAAAATCTAATCGATGCATAAGCTTAAAATCTTTCAAAATTATTATTAGCATTGATCATATTTGATTTTGATTTCCCAGATACGTTTCCTAGTTATGGCAGTTTGATTCGAATAAAGCATTCTTGACAAAAACACGGCCGATTAAAGCGGCAGTCGGATGAATGGATTCTATAATATACCTACTTATACTATCTCTTTTTATATGTGAAACGAGTTTAATATGCGAATTCCTGCTAATTTCTCGAATGAAATTGCATTAATTTGGTTTTTATTTGTTTTCCAGGGCAATATTTATTTTCCATCTTTATACGTTTGTATTTATATCAGTTTATGTCATTTTTAGGAGAACTTTATGTTTATTGTTTCACATGTTGTTTTTAACTTATAAAAAGATATGTGAAAAATAAAAAATACGAGATGGTATACAGAAGCAACAGGAGGCTTATTAATGATAAAGTATAACTTATTGTAACTTTGCATTTAAAAATTATATGGTAAATAAAATATATATTCTGATTAAGATAATCAATTAAACAGCGTAAGAATCTGAAACTGCAGTAAACATCTGGAATTTAGATAATACTTAAAATTTTGCCATGCATCGGATACATTTTATAAATTTTTTGTCTGATGTTTTTAAATATTTAACAGTATTAAAATATTAATAAAACTGTTGCAATAAAATATTTTATGTTTAGAATTACTGTTTTTTAGTCTTTATTTGACTTGTTTTGTTAGAAGATTTATAAATTTACCATAAGTTTAAAGACTTATTCTTGATCGTCACGCATAATTTTCAAACATTTTTTTTATTCGTGAAGGAGAAAATTTAGAGTTAGGCAAAATTCAATTTTAGATTGCCGTTATTTTAAAGTACAACTCAAATTATTTTGAAAAAAAATCTGCAATAGGTCACCTTCTTTTAAAGATCAAAAACATTCTTCAGGTATAGCGCTTACATATCAATAAAAATAAATAATAGAAAAGGAAAAGATGGTTTTAGCGTCATCTGCTGAATATTATAAAAAAAGAGGAACAGTTTATAAAATAAAGCTTTTAGATCTCTGATAACAAGAATCGTATCAATCACATTTTGTCTCTCTTAGTTTGTACTAATGCTTAAAGCACAAATTCGTTATTATTGTATTATATCACATACCGGGTATCCTCGAAAATAAGATCTTGTCTTAAGTTTTGCTCAAAAGACGCATTAGAACTTGTATCCAGGAGATGCACAACAATTTACATTTGTCCATTTACAATTATCTGCATTTATTCATTTGTTAGTATATAAAAATTTACATTTATTCCATTACAGTCATGTCATCTTTATTTGGAACATCGCCAGAAAATCCCAAACCTCGAATCCCGTCTGGTTTTTGCAAGTCCATTTTCCGTTCCACCACTACTCCCATATCTAGGAATAACTTCTTGCTTTTGGTAACTAGCTCGTAATGCACTGACAACACAGCTATCAGTGATTTTATGTTATGAATTCTTGATCAAAAACACGACCTTTTGCAAGGTCGGCTTAAAAGTGCCTAGGCTGATTTCTTTCCGTTCTGTGTCCATTGTAGTCTTTGATTTCTATACGCAAACGATCCTTGAACGTCTAGTTTACTACGTATAAAGAGGCTGCAGATAGGCAATCATTCCTGAAAAAGTCGTCACATTCATTATATTTATCTTCCTTAAAAAAAATGCTTTATGTCTTTTGCGCTTTGAAAACTGGTGGAACACCAGCAGATTTTTTGTCTGGTCTGTAAAAGAAATTGTAACATTAAATCGATTCACCCACTTCCTTTGCAGATGAGCAATAATTCCTGCAAGGATCATTATTCAACCGATTCTTATTTCTACAAGGATATTCTTCATATCTATAATATTTTGAGCATTGGTTGAATATCAGACCAGCAGATCTTTGTCTACCTTGTCAAACAAATGGTAGCATTAAATCGACCCACTTACTTCCTTATACAGCTGTTTGTGTGCAATCAGTGCTTTCGGTTGATGTACGTGTGAGTAACACGTGCATAAGAAAATATCCCTAACATTAACTAGGAAAGCCGAAATCTTAGTTAAGATAGACATGTTACAATTAATAATCAAATTTAATAAGGAAAAGTAACAGTTGCCGGGTACATTATAACGGCTTAAGAAATTCAGAGCACCGTACGGATGCGAGTACACAAGTTCACATATCTCGGCGAAGCAGACGCACACATTTGTTGAAGTAGTTCCACTTGACTGCCGGGGAAAATTCTTCTCTCCCCGTCAGCCTGTAGGTTTGCCAAACGGGTTTACTGTTTCGCCAATTGGCGCTTTTCTGTACAGTTTTTAAGTCCGTATCGCCTGTTTGGCGCTGCCGCTGCATACTCCCTCCGCAGTGTCAACGAAATGTGACATACCGATGCGGGGGTCGGATTAATCGTCCAGAACGGGTGATACAATTGTCCGAAGTTTTTTTCACACTCTTGGAAGCAACTTGAGAAGAGTCCATGGTTACAAAAGCGGGTTTCAGTCTATCTATGGAGATCGTTTGCTTAGTCCCTTTTATTTCGAGATCAAACGTTTTATCTCGTCTTTCTAGCACCTTAAATGGTCCATCATAAGGAGTTTGAAGTGGTTTTCTAACTCCGTCGTGTCGAACAAACACATATGTGGACTTGTGAAGGCGTGGATGAATGAAACATGTTCGCTGGCCGTGGCTAGAAGTCGTGGTCGGGCGGACACTGGCAAAGTGAGATTTTAAATCCTCCACAAACTGTTTGGGGGACGCATCCGGAGGTGTCGGATTGAAAAATTCTCCTGGGAGACGGATAGTCTTTCCATACACCAGTTCAGAAGTGGTTGCTCCTATGTCCTCTTTGAGAGCGGCGCGGAAACCCATCAGCAGCGTTGGAAGGGCAGCCACCCAGTCACTGGTATCGTGCGCTTTTAAGGCAGCTTTCAAAGGACGGTGGAATTCCTCGATCAGTCCATTCGCCTGTGGGTGGTACGGAGACGTCCTGATCCTCTTGATTCCCAATAATTGGGAAAGGGCTCGAAATAAGCCGCTTTCAAACTGTCGCCCTTGGTCGGTAGTAATAACAGTCGGACAACCAAATCGAGTAATCCAGTGGTCATAGAAAGCCTGTGCTACTGTGCGTGCTGTTATGTCTGGTATGGGTACTGCTTCGGGCCATCTAGTAAATCTATCTATCATAGTTAGACAGTAATAATTATTTTGAGAAGGAGGTAGGGGACCAACAAGGTCAAGGTGGACGTGATCAAACCTCTGTGATTGGTCTGGAAACTTCATTAACGGGGTTCTAGTATGCCTGCTTAATTTTGCTTTCTGGCACGGAATGCACTGCCGTGCCCATTTCGCGCAATCTTTGCGGATGGAAGACCAAACAAACCGTGAACATACTAACTTTGTTGATGCGCGAATGCCGGGGTGAGACAAATTTGTGCAAGGTGGCAAAAACTTTCTCACGGAATGCCGGAGGAATGTAAGGACGGGCGTTACCTGTTGACACATCGCAATATATCGGTAAAGCTACAATTCGGTAAGGTAACTTTTTTGAGATGTAGAACTTTTGACTCTTTAAGCAATGTTTGTAATTCTGGGTCGATTTCTTGCATTTTAGCGATTTCCTCATAGTCGATAGGGTTAGGCATGCTTATTGCTTCTATACGCGAAAGTACGTCGGCAGCGATATTCTCCGAACCTTTTATATGGCGAATTTCAGTGGTGAATTGTGAGATAAAGTCTAACTGCCTAGCCTGGACGAGGTGAACACTTATCCAAACGCTGTCGGAATGCATACGTGAGCGGTTTGTGATCGGTGATTAAAGAAAAGTTCCGTGCTTCCAACATATGCTTAAAATGCCTAATAGCAGCATAAGCTGCCAATAGCTCTCGATCATACGCACTATAGTTCCTTTCCGCCTGCGAAAGCTTTCGTGAGAAAAATGCGAGAGGCTGTAAATTTCTATCAACTATTTGTGATAGCGTTCCACCGATCGCGAAGTCTGACGCATCAACCTGTAAAAACCAACTGGGCATCTTTCTTCGGGTGTGGGTGTGCCAAAAGAACAGCATTAGCCGATTAGCTGTTTGCACTTTTGAAATTCACTCCGCGCTTCCTCAGACAAATTCAGGATTGTCTTATCATTTTTCTTAGCCCCTTTTAAATACGAAGTTAAATGTATTTGATTCTGGGCTACGTTGGGTAAAAATCGACGGTAAAAATTTAAAAATCCTAAAAATCTCTGCAAATCTTTTACCGTTTTAGGAAGTGGGTAGTTAAGTATCGGTTCCACTTTGTTCGTCAGAGGCTTGGTACCATCTTTATTGATTATATGGCCTAAAAAAGATATTTCCGGAACGCCGAAAACACATTTCGAAGCGTTAATTGTCAATCCATATGAAGTTAATCTTTCAAAAACAGTACGTAGGTGAGATTTATGCTCATCTTCCGTATCACTAAATATCAAAATATCATCTAAGTAGACGTAGGCGAATTTTAGATCTCCAAGAATTTCGTTCATAAACCTTTGAAAGGTTTGAGCTGCTCCGCACAGTCCGAAATTTAAAAACGGAAATTCGAAAAGACCAAATGGGGTGCAAACTGCAGTTTTCGGTATATGATCTAGATGGACTGGTATATGGGGATATGCCCGAACGATATCAATTTTTGAAAAAATTGTCTTTCCGCTAAGCGTATTATTAAAGTCTTGTAAATGCGGGATAGGGTATCCGTCGGGTTCGGTGCACGCGTTTAGTTTTCGGTAGTCTCCTACTGGCCGTATGTCGCCGGTTATAGCTCTTTTCAGCGGTGGGGTTTGAGAGAGCTTTAAGTCCGCTGATTCGGGGTTTGCTGGCGACGGAGCCGTGTGGACTACCAACGACGGCGGACGTGTGTCAGTTCTGCTCCTGGTTTTTGTGCTTTTCCGAGTGTTCAAAGTGCCGCCGGAAGTGCGCCGTTAGTGTTAAAGTGTGCGTGAATGTGCAGTGCATCGATTGATATGTCGTTTATGTGTGTGCGCTAAGTATTTCTCTGTGAAATTGTGTTTTTGTGTTAATCACAAAGGATTTCAGGCTGGTGCATTTTTAGCGGACTTTTGTGCACATCCCCGGCCGCCTCCCTACGGAAGGTTCCCGCCAGCCAAACACGTGGCACCGAGGTAGGCCTAACGTTTTCGATGGAATTTTTCTAAGTCCAAAAATTGGTCAATTGTTTTTAAAAATTAATTTCTCAGCACCTAATTATGTTATTTTTACATGGTTTTCATCAAAATGATCAAAATTAAAAGTTCTTTCTTTGTATAATATTTATATTACTGTATCATTGATATTTAACGAGTTGGGTCATAAATTTTATATTTATGTCTACTTCTAATTTACCTTGCACCCTGTATACTAGGCTTAACTCTACTTTTAATTTATGTTAGCTCCAAAGGGTTTGTCCTTTTGGCCCTTCATTTTTGTCAATATTGAACATTGTCGAGACGCAGAACTTTTTGTCGAAATCTTGTTTTCTATTATTTATATTGATAAAAATAGTGTTTTCAGCATTTTTATTGACTTTTTGACTGTTTTATATTATTCCTTATGAACTGTATTTCTTATGTCATTTAATTGTTTTTATTAGACTTTATTGTTTTACATCGTTGTAACGGTGCTTAACATCATAGTTTTCTTTTACTTTTGCT